ACGTGGCCTCGCTGGGCGAGAGGGTGGTTCCTTCTTAAATTCAAGCAGTCCTACCAGGCAGTCCGTGGCATGCTTCCAGGCTTCCTCAATTGATGGGCCAATATACTATGGTGAAGGGAGGTCCTCCTCCTCCTCCTCCTCCTCCTCCTACTCCTCCTACTCCTCTTCCCCCTCCTACCGATGGTAGTGGTGGTAGGAAAGCGGCCCATCATCAACGTGCCAGGGGGCACGGTGGCGGATTAGCCACGAGTGGTAGCAACGGTCACCGACCGTAGTCACACGTATTGTCGCTCTCGTATACGTTACCGTTGTGTCCGCATCCGTGGTTGGCTGGAAGGGGGGTGGAGCGAAGAGCGGGAGTGCCCAGAAGTGCCGCGCAAGGGCGGAGGCAGGAGTGGCAAAAATGGGCTTCCATGAATTTCGGGTGGTGGAGCCTAGACTTTCCGAGGTGGAGGAGAAGGGAGTGGAGGAGGAGGAGGAGGAGGAGAAGGAGGAGGAGGAGGAGGAGGAGGAGGAGGAGGGAGGAGGTTACCGCCCTGCTCCGCCCCCTACAACCACGCACCCTCCGCCGGGGCCGGACGCGGCTCGTGGGGCTGGTGAGGACGGTGCTCTCTCCAGGAGCTACTGGGGTCGGGTTCGGCTCCTGGCAGGCTCGGGTCCTGGTGGCAAGGATCATGAAATCAGTTGCGCTGCGCATATCCCCACTGGCCCATACCGAAACGATGCCCAGGCGAGCTGCCCTGATCAGGAAGGTGTAGGAGCATGCAGTGGAACAGGCAGGTGAGTCAGCCGTCAAGCCGACGCTCGGAACCAGACTGGGTACACGCAGGAGTGAAATGATTGAGCCTTCTGTCGAAAGAGGAAGAGGAGGAGCGCGCGGAGGAGAGTGAAGAAGGAGGAGTGGAAGGACGATGGAGGATGAAGGAGGTTGGAGGAGTATGAGGAGGAGTATAAGGAGGAGGAGGAGGAGAAGAAGGAGGAGAAGAAGGAAGATGGGGGAGGATGATTGCGGAGGAAGGGGGCGACGACGACGACGACGACATTGATAAGGAGGCGGCGAAGTATGAGGAGGAGTAGGAGAAGGAGGAGGAGGAGGACGACGACGACGGTTGGAGTAAACCATGGAGGCCATCGCGAATATGTCGCCCTAAGAGCTTCTTAGAAGCCTCGTGGAGCCATCTTGGAGCCGTCGCTGGGCCATTTGGTGAGTTTGCGTGGCCCTCGTGGGGCTCCCTTGGAGGCATGGTGGGCATCTCTAGGCCCTCTCTGGGCCATCTGGGCTCTCTGGGTCAAACGAGGGGGCGGCGCCTCTTCGTCACGCCGCTCTTGGGTCGGAGAAATCGTGCCTTGGAGCCCTCCTGGGACGCCAGTGTGGTGAGTTTGTGCGCTTTCTGATGCCATCGTGGGCCTCATCTCTGCCCCATCTTGGAGCTCTCTTGGGCGATCTAGGGACCATCGTGGGGCTTCGGAGGCCTTTTCGGAAGAGCAAAGGCGAGAATGCCAAAATCATTGGTCCCCCGTTGATTTGGGAAAGATAGTGGCCTCTCGGGGGCTTCCTCGGGATGCTCTGTGGCCACTTGAGGCCGTCTTGGGGCCTCTTGGAGGCATCTTGGACCAGACTGTGTCATGGCGAAGGCATCATTACCGCATTTGGCCAAAGCCTTCCGGACATCTCACCGACGAAGTCCAGATCATTGAATATCAGTGTGTGTTCCAATGTTGTTGCTTCTGACAGGGGAACTCGACAGTGTTGCCCTTCTGGAGCCCCTCAGAAATCGTTGGTGTGGACCCTCGTGTGCCGTCTCAGGCCCCTCTTGGGGCGCTATTGGGCCATCTTGGAGTCATCTTCAGGCCTCAGGAGGTCTTGGAGCGAAAGGGCGATAATGCCAAAATTATATGTAGGCCACGCGGAGCTGTCTGGGAGCGGCATTGGGACCTCTTGGAGGCATGCTGGAAGCTATCTTGAGCCATCTTGGGATATCTTGAGCAAGCCATATTGGGCAATCTTGAACGCTCAGTCCGCTCCCCGCCACACCCCCCGTACAGACCAAGGGAGAGGGGGGAGGGGGAGGGGTCAAGACCTTCCTCCCAAACGCAAACTGTTTGGCTCACTCCCACCCGGCCGCCCAACACAGAAGCAGTATCTGAGTCTCCGCATAATTATTCCGCGGTCGTTTTTGGATGGACAGCTGCTGGGAGCCAATGCAGACCCCAGGTGCGCGACGCGGGGGCGAGGGGCGCCACGTCGGCCCCCCCACCATCCTCTCAGAAAACCCATGCGCAATCGCAGCGGAGAGGCCATCATGACGTTGCTGCACTCAGCAGGCAGTGTGCCAGCCCCCCCCCGCCGTCCCTTTCGAAACCAGTGCGAAGTGATCGCGGGGTGCCCGCGCACGATGCAGAGTGAGCCACGAAGTATAGTTCGTTTTCTGCTGTTTTCTGCCATGGTTGATAAGGATGTTGGCCCTGCGCGCAGCAGGCCATATGCTAGCATCTACGCCATCCCTGTCAAACAAACAGTACGAAGTGTTCGCGCCCCCCCCCCCCGATCATGACCCAAGCTGTTGCCATAAAGTGCGCGTTGCATTGTTTTTGACAGGGATAGCGGGGGGGGATCGGCAGTGTCCATGGTTTGTCGCCGGGCGGGCGGGGGAGGGGGTGTACATGAATAAGGAGCAGTGATCGCGCTACCCGGAAGTACGGCCGCAGGCCGTCCCGCTCACACTCACTAGCCATCCCATCACAGAAGTAGCATCCGAGTCTCGGCACAGCCAAGGGCTGCCATGGGATGGACAGCCATCAGGAACCACGACAGACGCCAGGAGCGCGGCGCTCGCGAGGTGCGCCGCGCCAGGCGCCTGAGGGGCCCCAAGCGTGCCCAGGCGCGCCAGATGCGCCACGAGCTCCACATCCGCCGAATGTGCCACGTGTTCCGCCCGCGCCGGGTGCGCCACGTGAGCGGCGCGGGCAGAGGGTGCCCGGGGAAGGACGTCGCGACAGAACACTGCGAGGTGGCGGCGGGGACGGTCAGCATGGTGCACGGCGTGTGCACCCCGCAATCGTTCTGCATTGGTTTGGACAGGTATTTCAGGCCCGCGCACACCCCAGACGATATACGCGCACCCCCTCCTGTGCCAAAAATATTGCAGAGCGATCGTCTGTCCTCCGCGCAGAGTGTTGCGTTGCTTTTGACAGACGATGCGCTTGCACTTCAGGCAAAACGCTGGCGTCCCCGCCGTCCATGTCAAAAGACCAGTGCAAAGTGGACGCGGGCCCCCCGCGGATGGTCCAGGGCTGTGCCGCAGAATCAATGTTGCACTCTGTTTGCAAGGATGGTGAAAGGGGAGGCATGGCGCCCAGCCGGCCGCAGGTCGAGTGGGGGAGAGGGTGGTTATGAACGCGGAGCAGCGAGGAGCCCTCCTCTCAGGCGATCGCAGCCATGGATTAAGGGGGCGTGGATTAGCGACGGGTCCCGCTTCCATGGGAAGTCACAGCTTGCCGCCGCCGAACGAGGCGGCACCAGCCGCATTTTGGGGAGGGCCCTTCCCCCGATCCATGTTTGCGCGCCCCCGAAAGAAGAGGGCTGGAAGAGGAAAATGCGCTACAGTGGGGGCCCCATGCCAAGGAGCACCCTGCTTGCCTCCAGTGGGCCCTGGGTTCCCTGGGTCTCAATGGTTGGGCCCATGGACAGCGCGACGCTCCCCCACACCAGAAATCCGTGGACGCCCTGGGGGCTCGGGGTTGGGCTGATTGTGCTCGGCGGCGAGAGAGGGGGGGACATGAGAAGGAGAAGGCCTTCTCAGAAGGCGGCGGGACTTCTCAGAAGCCCTCGCGCCTTCTGAGAAGCTCTCTCCGTCTTCGGGGAGGGCTTGCAGACCTTCTCGGAAGGCCCGGGGACCTCCGAACCTTCTGAGAAGGCCTTCTCCTCTCTCCTCACCTCCCCTCCTCGCTCGCCGCCAGCGTGCCAAGAGTGCCTCGTGGCCGAGGTCCTCCTGCAGACACCACCCACCTCAGCCCGCAGGGGCCCGTGGGCTCCCACGCTGCGACGGGCCGCGCTGGCACGGCGCGGCGGCCGCAGACCGGCTCGAGAGCCCCTGGCCAGAGGCGCGCGCACGCGGCCAGCGCGGTGCCGCGGATGCCCGGGGAGGAGGGGCGCGCCCCCGTCCCAGGGGAGCGAAGGATGGCAGAAACAGATAAGAAGCGCGGAGGTCCGCGCGGATTTCTCGGATCGGCGCTGGACCCCCTTCCCTGGCGCGCTCCGCGCGCCAGGGGCGGCGCCGGAGGCGCCGCCAAAGGGGGTCCAGCGCGGATCCGAGAAATCCGCGCGGGCCTCCGAGTTTTTCCTCTGTTTGTGTCATTCTTCGTTCCCCTACCGTCGGGGGCGGAAAAGAGGGGGGTGATGACTAGGGGGGGGTGGATATCATGGCGGGGGCCATGATATCTCCCCAGATTTCATGGCGCCTCTTCCTATTTCATTACGTCCCTGGCCCCCCCGCTGGGCCGCGCACATGCCGCCGGTCATGATTTGCACACCCCCCCTCTTGGGCACCCCCCTCTTGGCCGCTCCCGATACCGTCGGCGCCCCTGGCCGCAGGGAATGGGCGAGCTGTTCCTCGCAGTGGTCTCCTGCGAGCTCGCCGGCGGCGCGGCGGGCGCCGCTGCAGGTGTCAGCTGCGCGGTGGCCCTGGGGAGCGCCTACCTGCGCACGCTCGTGCCGTCCAGCCCGCAGGAGAGCCTCTGGCGCTGGCAGGTGCCCAATGCCTTCTCGGTGTGCACCATTCGGGCCGGGCGAAAGGGGGATATTGGGAAAGGGGGGGTTACGAAATCTGCTGCATGCAGCTGGTTTCGGCCTCACCGAGGGGCCCATTCCTCGATAAATGGGCGCCTCCGGCGCCGGGAGGCGCCGGGAAAATCAGCTGCGTGAGCTGATTCTCAAACCCCCCCTTTGCTGTCCCCCCCCTTTCGCCCGACCCGAACCATAACGGTGCTGGAGGGGGACGAGCAGCTAGGCATCGCGTCGCTGCCGGTGATGCGCCTGCGCCAGTCTGCGGACCGGACCGTGGACGAGTGGTTCCCGGTCGTCGTCGACCACCAGCCACCCAGGGCGCACCTGCGGCTGATCCTGCACTTCAGGCAGCAGAGCAAGCGTGGCGGTGACGAGCCAGAGAGCTCCGTTGTTCCCGAGTGTTTCAGGAGCCGGTACTGCGAGCTGACCAGGCAGTGCGAGCCACTCCCGACGTCTCCGACGAGCGACCTCTCGAAGGCGACCAGCTTGCTGGAGGCTCTGAGCGGGTGCACGGCGGGGCCGCCGTCGAGGCCCGCACCAGCACAGAGGCTCCCGGAGGTGGCGGCGCAGCCCGACGGCGCGGCGGCTCTGCGAGCGGAGCTGGTGGAGCGCTTGGAGCAGTGCCGCGCGGCGGTGGGTGCCCCGCGTGCGGCTCGGGGCGGCCGGCAGGCCACGACGGGCGCCAGCGACGAGGAGCTCTCCGACGGGGACGCCGTGCTCAGCGACGAGCCGTGCAGGCAGCTGCAGGGTCAGAACGCGGCCATGGAGCGCGAGCGGGAGGAGCTGCAGGATCACTGGAACGCGCTGCGGAGGGAGCGTGAGACGAAGCTCGAGGCGCTCGAGCAGAGCAAGATCGCGCTGGCCGAGGCGAGGGACACGGCGAGGGCGCTGGAGACCGAGGCAGCCAAGGCCACGGAGGAGCTCAAGGGCGCTCAGCAGGAGGCGGCCGAGCAACTGTTGGGGAGGCGGCGCCTGCAGAGGGAGATGGAGGCGTGCGCGGAGGCGTTCCAGGAGGAGATCTCGGCCCAGCGCAGCTCGGGGGAGCTGCTCCGGCAGAAGCGAGCGGGGCTGCGGGAGGCAGCCGTGGGCTTGGGGCAGGAGCTGCAGGCCTGCGTGGGCACCGGCGACCTGCTCGTCGCGGAGGGCCTGGAGCTGGCCGGCGAGGCCGCGGCATTCAACAGCGAGTGTGCCGAGCTGCAGGGGAGGCGGGAGAGGCTGGACGAGAGCGAGGCGATGCGGGAGGCCGTGGCCCTCTGCGAGAGACTGCAGGCGGAGCAGTGGACCGCCTGCGGCGAGGCGGACTGCGCGGGCGCCGAGGCGGCCGAAGAGCGGCGGAGGCTGACGGCACTGCTGGACCAGCAGAGCCGGCAGTTGCTGGTGCTACGCCAGGCCGCGGCGCGCCTGACAGGGGAGGCCGGTTCCCCGAGCCTTTGCGCGGACGGCCCGGCGGTGCCAGCGCAGACGCCGCCGTTGCGGCGCCCGCCACCATCGGCTGACAGAAGCCCGCGGAGCTGCCCCGGCTCCTGGGATAGCCCCACGGGCGCGGGAGACGATGGTCGGCATCTTCCTTCTCCGTGCCAGCCAGGGGCCGCCGCCTCGTGTAGGACCAGCGGCCCCGGCAGGCCATGAGAGCATCGGGCCGCGCGGCCCGTCCTCCGCCAGCCGATCCGCAGCGGACATGCTCACACGACCTCCTCCTCGTCCTCCTCCTCCTCCTCCTCCTCCTCCTCCTCCTCCTCCTCCTTGGGTGACTTGCTCCAGGGGTCTTCAGGCTCGCTTCGATGGGGCCCTCGCAGCGCGCCGTGGAAAAGAACCCGCAGTCGCTCTTCGAGAGTCGCACGCCGCTTGTCTTTGCAACCACTGCACTCATTGATCTCAGACGCACCACGGCGTGACATCGCCACCCCCTCCCCTGGGTATGGAGAGCACCGCCATTGGGAGCACCGCCACTGGGGCGGTCTTGCGCGAGACCCCACCCCCCAAGGCAGCACCTGCTGGGGAGGGGCCCGGATGCGACTCCCGGCGCCGTGCGCCAGGTGAGCATTTCCGAAGACGCCCACTTTGCAGCGCTCCGCAGAGAGCCTCGCGAGAGCACGTGCCGCACACCGCCTCGACCGCCCGTGTGGTGGCCGAGCGGTGCCCACGGCGAGGCCACCCGCCTCGTGGAGCGGCGACGCACCCACGGCGAGGCCCGGGTCGGCCTCGGCCCCGAAGGCCTCCAGGTGGCGCCCGGGTGCCTGCAGGGGCGTCCGGGGGTCCTCCAGGGGCCCTCGAGGGGCCTCGAGGAGCTTCGGAAGCAGCCCCCTTGTGGGGAGCGCGGCGATGGCGGAGGGCGGTGCGGGACGGCCCACCCGCACCACCCGCGCGCGGAAGCAGAAGCTTCCAGGGCCTCGCTCGCAGGAGCCGGAGCTGCCAGGGGCCCCGGAGGGAAAGTTCCAGGGCCTTCGCGGGCGGCCTCTAGAGGGCCTCCCGGCAGCTTCTCGCGGAGGGGGTCACGGCCATCACTCTGCGGTGGCAAGCCTGCCCTCTCGCACGTCGGGATCTCCCGCCCGAGGATTTGCACGACATTCCCAAGTCCGGTAAGTCGCCAGAATCATGTGTTTCTCTGCGGTCACCGCCTGATCCCAGGGCTTCGCCCTCTCCCGGCCGCCGTGAGGCCCCGCCTTCTTTCGCCCTTTCTCTGCTAATTAGAGCTGTGCGCGTCCCGCTTAGCTTCCAGCGGAAGAGGTTCGCTCTCGCCCCGCAGATCAAATATGTGTTTCTCTGCGGTGCCGCTTTACAGCTGCCTTGGCATTTCGGGTTTCCCGGGTCTAGATGTACAGCAGGGGCGTGGGCAGCTCATCACTCCAGGCCTCCCAGGTCCAGAAGGCTCGACAGGGGCATTGGATTTTCACCATGTAATATCAACGCTGGCGCGCTTTGCTATAGCAATCGTGATGTTGTTTGTTTCGCTATTCGATGTGTTTTCCCGCTTGCTGGGAACGCTTTTACTAGACACGTTCGGTGACCAAACTTCTATTCGGCGCGAGCTTCGTCTTTCGTCTGGTTTGGTTGTGCGTCAGTGTTGCAGTGTGGTGCTCATTCGGTTTGCCCCGTTCGCTGCAGCATTCTGCTGCTTGACGACTCGTTGTGCGCAGGCGAGGCGTTGTGCTCCGATCTCGACGGCGTCCGACAGCGTGCGCGTGGCGCGTGCCATTCCCCACGCAGCACCTGCACTCGACGTGTCTTGCTCCGCTCGAACTCGAGGAGGAGGAGGAGGAGGAGGAGGAGGAGGAGGAGGAGAAAGGGAGAGGAGGAGGAGGAGGAGGAGGAGGAGGAGGAGGAGGAGGAGGAGGAGGAGCGATGGGGAGGATGAGGCACTGGCTGGGCACGCCGTGGCTTGGGCTGGTGCCCCGTTGGTAATTAGGGCGCCCGTCGGCGCCCCGTGGGCGCCCCGCGCCTCGGGGGGGGGGGTGCGCCGACGGGTTTTCGCCCGGTGCCCGCTGAGGAGGAGGAGGAGGAGGTGGCTATGTATTGAGGCATGTTGAGGCCCATATTGCAAGTGAAGGTGTGGTGTTTTTCATCTAGCTTTGGGTGTCACACCCGTGGGTGGGTCACCCGTGTTGTGAGCGCGACATGCGGGATTCGTATGCCGTGACGATGTCTGGGTTCCTGCCGAGGCCCATAATGTGCGTGAAACGCTTTGATGTTCCCAACCGCTTCTCGGCTGACCCACCCGTGGGCGAGCCACCCGCGTTGTGAACGTGTTTGAGGGAAACGCTTTGCGTGGCAATGCGTCGCCTCAAGTTGAGGCAAAGAATGTGAGTGAAAGAATTGGTTGTTCAGTCCAATTTTCGGGGGACGCGGGTTGGTCACCAGTTTGCCGAGCGAGCCACATAGTGAGCGCATTTCGTGGCAATGCATCACCCCATGTTGTGGTCCAGAATGTAAGTGGAACAAGCGCAGTGCCCCACAAAGTGATTGTATAATCCACCCGCGGATGGATCACCAGTGTTGCGAGTGCACCATACGGGAAACGCATTGCGCGGGAGTGAATGTTCTCATGTTGAAGCCCCGAATGCAAGTGAAACGTTTGGCGTTTTCCGCTTCATTTTCGGGTGACCCACCCGCGGGTGGGTCACCCGTGTTGGGGCGGGCGCCCCATCGGGGAAGGGCAGTGCGTGGTCATCGAGATGGGTTCATGGGGAAGCCCATGATGCGAGTGAAGATAGGCCCCACCCAGTTTTCTGGCCACCCACCCGTCAGTGCGTCACCAGTTTGGCGAGCGCGCCATGCAGGAAGCGCATGGCGTGGCAATGTACATCGCCGTGCTGTGACCAAGAAGGCAGGGGACACAGTTGGTGGTTCCCATCTTGTGTTCGGGTGGCCCACCCGTAGGTGTGTCGACCTTGGTGCGAGCGCGCCGCACGGTAACCGCATGGCGGGGCAGTGCGTGGCGGCGGCCCAGCATGCAAGGGAACGCCAGCCTCGGGTCTCCCAGAAGTACAGACGGTAGCAGGCGCACTGGGTACTCTCCCTCGTGCTAGGCCCGGCAGGTCCAGGAGGTGTGGCAGGGCCACTGGGCCAGATGCCAGGTGTCCCGAAGCCCGCATCCTCAACCAGAGTGCACTCGAAACATTTGCGCGAGTCACGCCGGCGCGTGAGCGTCCTGCTCTTCGGGTGCCTGGGCGGATCTTGCCGGGGCAGTCGGCCTCATGCGCCCGTGGGCCAGCACGTCGCCGACGAGTGGGAGGGGGGGGAGTGGAAGGGAGCAGCGAGGGGCAGATCGGCGGGGTTGGGGAAGGGGAGAGGGAGAGGGGGGCGGAGGGAAGCTGGGGTGCGTTCGCGCCACACCTGCCATCCTGCCCCGCCCACCCGTCCCTTCCCAGTGCGCTGAGTCCTGCTCGATCCGCCGACTGGTGTGTCTTGGAGGACCTTGGTCCTCAGGTGGCAGCTGCAGGATTTGACCCATCGTGCGCGGAGCGGAGCGGCTGGAAGCGGCGGATGGATCCATGCCTTCTCGGTCCATCCTTGGCCACGTTCGTTGGCCGCGCCCCGCTCGGAAAGCTCCGAAATGGCCTTCCAAGGCCCTTGATACTATTCGGGCCGACTGTAATCAAGGGCGCCCTCGAGGGCGCGAAGTTATTCGTGCTTCGCGGTTCGGCTACGATGCCTCCTCGTGTTCCTCGTCTCCCCTTGGGGGGCGGCGCGAGAGCGCGAAGCTGCTCGCGCTTCGCGCAGCGCGAAGCGCGAAGTTCGAAGCCCTTAATTTCCCCATCAATAACCACCGCTGGGGGGATGGATCTTCCGAAACCTCGGCAGGAGGTGGATGGGGATCTCTCTGGACCCCCCCTGGCCAATATAAGTAGATACACAAATATATGTGTAAATAGATATTCTTGTGTGCATCTATGCACACATATATATATATACATAGATATATATATATACATATACACATATATAAACATGTATATACATATGTATAGATATTTTTTTATATATATATATATATGTGAATATATATATATATATATATATATATAGATCGGGATCCACCGCCCGCTGGGGTCCCAGGACGTCGCTTCCACAGGCGGTGGATATGGACTTACCCCCGCCTGGCAAGGGGGGGCAGGGCCGAGATCCACTTCGAGTGCGCGCCGAAGCCGGCCCTCCTGGCCGCCGCGGCCCCAGCGGGCGGCCCCTCTCGGCCGGCGCTCGGCGCGGGGCTCGGCTCGCCTCCGGCGGGCCATCCCGTGGAGCCATCGGGCGCGGTGCGCGCGGGGAGGCGCGCCTGGCTCGTGGATCGCTGGAGTCAAGCAGTGGCGAAGCGTCCCGGCTCACCTACAGCCCAACCAAGCAATGTTCTAAGAAATTCTTGCGGTTCCCCAGAAATGTTCTTATATAACATTTCTGGCGGAGTCTGTCTTGTTTTTTCACATCGGGTCTACGTTCTACGAACATTGTTTTTGTTCTTCGAACATTTTTGAGTTCTAAGAACATTCCGTGGTAGGACAATAGGAATGCCGGGACGGTCGGTCCCTGCTCAATGGAAGCCGGAGGTTTTGGGATGTTTGTTCGCTTCAGAGGAGGGAAAAGGTACCCATGCCGCTGCCTTTCCCCGTCCTTCCCCCTGTGTCGGCCTCCCGGGAGGCCCTCGTCGCCACCGCTGGGTTCGCCTCGAAATCTTGGTCAGAACGCACCCCAGCAGAGGTCTAGGGAGTAGTGGTATGGGTACCTTTTGGTTTCCCCATCGCTTGTTTGGGCATATTGGGGATTTCTCGCCGCCACGGCTGGATAGCCCTCAAATTGTCGAAACGCACTCTGGGAGAGATATGGGGATCGATTTTGGATGGGAGAACGTAGAATTCCAGGCACGTCGCTACCGCGTTGTACACGTTGTCAAAGTATGTTTATGGCAATGCATATTTTGCACGTTAGACCAACACTTGCTGGATGGCCGCTGCGTCAGTCATGTACTACTGCTCGCCCTGCTCCTGCTGGTGCTGCCCTTCCTGTTGCTCCTCGCCCTACTCCCCATGCAGTAAGGATAGTATGTTTCATGCCAGTTGCTCTTCATATACGTATACATAGACATATACACGTACAAATATACATATACGGACACACGTAGATCAGCATACCTATCGAAGACGCCTACAGCGAATCACCGCCGCCCCCTGCCCTTTCGGAAGTACCCATGTGGCCGAACGTTGCGGCCGTAGTTCTGCCAAGTTATCGGACCACGGGTTCCCCCAGCCGTTTTGGAAACCCGTCGGGGAACAGCGGTGGGGAAAAAAGAAGCGGAGGAGAGGGAGGAGGAGGAGGAGGGAGGGAGGAGGAGGAGGAGGAAGAGAGGAGGAGGAGGAGGAGGAGGAGGAGGAGGAGGAGGAGGAGGAGGAGGAGGAGATGACGACGACGACGACGACGACGACGACGACGACGACGACGACGACGACGACGACGACGACGACGACGACGACGACGACGACGACGACGACGACGACGACGACGACGACGAGGACGAGGAGGCGGAGGCGGAGGAGGCTAAGGAGGAAGAGGACTCTTGGGGCCTTGTGGGTCTCTCGGGGGCCTCTTGGAAGCCTCCTCGGGCCTCTTGGGGCCTTTGGGGATTTCTGGGGGGCCTCTTTGGCCGCCTTAGGGATTTCCTGGCCCGTCTGACGCCGTCGGAAGCCATCTTGGATGGCTCTCTGAACTGACTTGAAGCCCTCTTGGGGCGTCTCACGGCCGTCTTGGAGGCCATCTTGGAGGCTTTGGAGACCTGTTGGGCCGTCTTAAGGCCCTCTTGGGGCCGTTTTGGAGGCTTCTTAGAGCGTCATGGAGTCATCTTGGAGGCCTTTGGGGCCACCTTGGGGCGATCTTGGAGGCCTCTTGGGCCGTCTTGGGCCGTCGGAAGGTCGAAAAGAAGCACAGGGCAAAATCCTTCAACATCTTAAGGGAGATCAATGATGTTGGCCTTTTCCAGCCCTGGAGGACCTCTTGAAGGCCTCTTGGGCCGTCTCTTGGGGGCCTCTGGGGCCGTCTTGAGCCGTCTTGGCGGCTTCTTGGACGATCTGGAGGCATCTTAGTCTCTCTTCGGCCGTCTTGTCTGCCATGTTGGACTCTCATGGGGCCGTGTTGGAAGCATGTTGGCCGTCATGGAGGCCATATTGAAGCAATCGGGACAGAAGAAGCCAACGGGAGGGGAACCCCGGCGCAGCCCCAGGAGGAACTCTTTTGGAAAAGAACCAAAACCAAGCCGTAAGAAATTCAGCACGCCGGGCACCCTTGTGGCACGACCACGAGGGGGCGGCGGATCGAAAACGCCTACGGCGAATCACCGCCGCCCCCTGCCTTTCTGGAAGCGCTTGCTTGGCCGAAAGTTGGGTTTGAGCTTGGCCAAGCTATCGGGCCACACGTTCCCCGAGTGGGTTTCGAAAGCCTTCGGGGAACACGGAGTCGGGCGGAGCTATCGGGCCAGGTGGTTTCCGAGCTTTCGGGCCTCCTGGAGGACGCCTTGGCGGGCTTTTGGGCCGTATTGGAGGCCTCTTGTGGGCCTTGTGGGCAGTCTAAGGCCATCTTGAGGCCATCTGGGGCCGTCTTGGGTGCATCTTGGGGCCATCTTCGCCGTCTTGGAGGCCTTCTTGGCAGTCTTGGAGGCCATCTTGGCCGTCTTGGAGGCCAACTTGGGCGTCTTCGGGGCCATCTTGGGCCGTCTTGGGGTCTTGTTGGGGCCCTCGTGGGGACCTCTTTGCTTGTCATGGAGCCATATTGGAGGCCTTTGGAGCGCTCTTGGGGCGATGTTGGGGGCGTGTTGGCCCGTCTTGGGCCGTCGGAGAGCTGAAAAGAGGAAAATGCCCAAATCCTCCAAACAAAATGCCAAAGTCAATGAGTTTGGCCTCTTCGGGCCTTCCTGGTGGAGCTCTTGGAGGCCTCTTGGGCCGTCTTGGAGGCCTCTTGAGCCGTCTTGGGCCATCTTGAGGCTATCTTAGGCCGTCTTGAGTGCATTTTGGCCAGTCTTGGAGGCATCTTCGGGCCATCTTAGCAGTCTTAAAGGCCATATTGGCCGTCTTTGATGCGTCTTGGCGGCCATCTTGGACCGTCTTGGAGCCACCTGGGCCAGGAAACCGTTTGCAACCACCTCTTGTGGGGCTTTCCGGGCCTTTCCGGGACCCTTGCGGGCTGGGCCAGAGCCCCAGGGAGAATTCTTTTGAAAAAAGAGCCAAAACCAAAAGCGAAAGGGTTCAATCAACAGGGGGCGGCGGATTGAAAACGCCTGCGGCGAGTCACCGCCGCCCCCTGCCTTTTCGGAAGCGCCTATGTGGCCGAACGTTGAGGCCAGAGCCCTGCCAACCTATCGGACCATGTGTTCTCCGAATCGGGTTGGAAAGCCTTCGGGGAAAACGTGGGCATCTTGAAGGTCATCTTGGCCGTCTGGAGGCCATTTTGACCCTTTCGGGTCTTCTTGGCGGACGTCTTGGAGGGCTCTTGGGCCATTTTGGAGGCCTCTTGTGGGCCTTGTGGGCAGTCTAAGGCCATCTTGAGGCCATCTGGGGCCGTCTTGGGTGCATCTTGGGGCCATCTTGGCCGTCTTGGAGGCCAACTTGGGCGTCTTCGGGGCCATCTTGGGCCGTCTTGGGGTCTTGTTGGGGCCCTCGTGGGGACCTCTTTGCTTGTCATGGAGCCATATTGGAGGCCTTTGGAGCGCTCTTGGGGCGATGTTGGGGGCGTCTTGGCCCGTCTTGGGCCGTCGGAGAGCTGAAAAGAAGAAAATGCCCAAATCCTCCAAACAAAATGCCAAAGTCAATGAGTTTGGCCTCTTCGGGCCTTCCTGGTGGAGCTCTTGGAGGCCTCTTGGGCCGTCTTGGAGGCCTCTTGAGCCGTCTTGGGCCATCTTGAGGCTATCTTAGGCCGTCTTGAGTGCATTTTGGCCAGTCTTGGAGGCATCTTCGGGCCATCTTAGCAGTCTTAAAGACCATATTGGCCGTCTTGGATGCGTCTTGGCGGCCATCTTGGACCGTCTTGGAGCCGCCTGGGCCAGGAAACCGTTTGCAACCACCTCTTGTGGGGCTTTCCGGGCCTTTCCGGGACCCTTGCGGGCTGGGCCAGAGCCCCAGGGAGAATTCTTTTGAAAAAAGAGCCAAAACCAAAAGCGAAAGGGTTCAATCAACAGGGGGCGGCGGATTGAAAACGCTTGCGGCGAGTCACCGCCGCCCCCTGCCTTTTCGGAAGCGCCTATGTGGCCGAACGTTGAGGCCAGAGCCCTGCCAACCTATCGGACCATGTGTTCTCCGAATCGGGTTGGAAAGCCTTCGGGGAAAACGTGGGCATCTTGAAGGTCATCTTGGCCGTCTGGAGGCCATTTTGACCCTTTCGGGTCTTCTTGGCGGACGTCTTGGAGGGCTCTTGGGCCATTTTGGAGGCTTCTTGCGGGCCTTGTGGGCAGTCTAAGGCCATCTTGAGGCCATCTGGGGCCGTCTTGGGTGCATCTTGGAGCCATCTTCGCTGTCTTGGAGGCCTTCTTGGCCGTCTTGGAGGCATCTTGGAGGCCATCTTGGTGGTCTTGGAGGCCATTTTGGGCGTCTTCGGGGCCATCTTGGGCCGTCTTGGGCTCTTGTTGGGGCCCTCGTGGGGGCCTCTTGGCCTATCATGGGGCCATCTTGGAGGCCTCTGGGGCGCTCTTGACACGATGGTGGGGGCCTCTTGGGCCGTCGGAGAGCTGATTAGAAGAAAAAAACAAAATCTGTCACAAACCTAGGGAAAATCAATGATGATTGCCCTTTCGGGCCTTTCTGGAAGGACGTCTTGGAGGCCTTTGGGGGGCCTCTTGGCCAGTCTGAGGCCATCTTGGAGCCATATTGGGCCGTCTCAGAGGCTTCTTGGACGAATTGGAAGGCATATTTGACTCTCTCGGGCTGTCTTGGAAGCCATCTTGGATCATCTTTGGCGACTTGGAAGCCATCTTGGAGGCCATCTTGGGCCAACGTGACCATCTTAGAGACCATCTTGAGCCGTCTTGGAGAATTTGTTCTGGTCGTTGAGGTGGTTTCGGGGCCTTTCTGGGACCCTGACAGGATCGGCCGAAGCCCCAGGGGAAGCTTTTTGGACAAAGAACCAAAACCAAGACCGAAAGGGTTCAGCACGCCGGGCATCCCAGTGATGAATCAACAGGGGGCAGTGGATCGAAGACGCCTACGGCAAATCGCCCATGTGGCCGAGTCTTGTGGCAAGAGCTCTTCCTAGCTATCGGACCATGTGTTCCCCCAGCCGTTGTGGAAACCTTTCGGGGAACACGTGGGGGAGGATGACGGAGAATATCAGGAGGAGGCGGAGGAGGAGGTGGTGGAGGAGGAAGAGGAGGAGAATGAGGAGGAGGATGGGGCATCTTGGGAGCCTCTGGAGACATTCTTGGAGCCTCCTGGGAGCTTCCTGGGAGCCTCTTGAAGGCATCTTAGGGGCCATCTTGGAGAGGCCTCTTGGGGACTTCTCGGGGGCCTATTTGGCCATCCTGGTGGGCTCATAGCCCGTCTGACGCCGTCGGAAACCGTCTTGGGGGCCACTCTGGGCCGACTTGGGACCCTCTTGGGGTGCACCAGGGCCATCTTAGAGGCCATCTTGGGCGTCTTGGAGGCCTCTTGGGCCGCCTTGGGGCCCTTCTGGGCCTATCTTGGAGACCTCTTGGGCTGCTCTGCGCCAGCGGACGGAAGCGCCACTGGAACACGGACACTGCACCTCGCACGGCGCGACGGCGCGGCCCCCGCCGCGGCCGAGAAGAGCGCGCCCCCAAACGAGAAACGGCAGACGGCGAAGGAATGCCCGCGGGGCGCGCGCGAGAACGCAGGAGGCCACGCGCGAACCCCGCGCCTACCCCCCGCGATTTCCGAGGGGGAGGGCGGGGCCCCCTTCGCTCGGGAGCTCCCGAACGAAGTGAAGCCCGCCCTCCCCCTCAGAAATCGCGGGGGCAGGGGCCCCCCAGCGTCGTCGGGCTATGCCCGATGACTCGAGCAACGGCAACGGTCACCTCACACGCGGCGCCTCGGAGCCGAGAGTTGCGAGGTTGCGGAACGGGCCGGACCTCCTCGCGTTCGGAAAATGGCGGAGCTTGAAGTTGCGAGGATGTCTTAGGCGCAACGCAATGGGCCCCACAAACTTCGGGTCAAGGGCATCCTAGAATCCAGCGTTGTGAGGATGTCTCAGGCGCAGCGGGCTAGACCACTTCTGAATTGTGAGAATGTCTCTGCGCGTGGGCCCTCGGCCAGAACCAATTCGCACCACGACAGGACCCCAGTCAGCACAGCTGCTTGTGGAAAGATATGCCTTCTTAGAAGACCACTCCCCTCGCCCCACCGTTCGAGCCGAGCCCAACACTGTGGGTGCTTGGTCGACAAGCTTCGAAGGAAATCAAAAGTACTGCGGGCATCTTCACATCACAAAATAAGGTTCGTGCAGGAGCACGTACGATTGCAGATGTCAAGGCCAGTTTGGCTTTGCCGAGCTGTTGAATGCTTGGGACTCGCATCTCGCCAAGGTGCAGGAGGCCCAAGTCTGCGTCTACGCGTTCCGCATGGCGACTCCCGCAGCTTGTCATCCGCTACACCACGCAGACTGACGGCCGATGCTGCGTGCGTGGCGACGGGACAGGCGTGCAGAAGAAACACGAGCCGCTCCCGAAAAGGGCTTCCTCGCCAAGGGAACGAAGACCTGCCCCCCCCTCGCAGCAGAAGAACGGCAGGCACAGGGCAAGCACGGAGTTGTTGGCGGTATTCAGGGCAGCAGGTGGCAGGATCAGCCCCTGTCAGTAGCTTGGGCTTTTGGCAGCAGGAGCGACAGCCCGTGCGTGTCCCTTTGCACAGACGACGACGATCATTAAGTCGGGGCTGCCCCTCTACAGGAGGAACATTCAAACATAGTAAAAAAATAGTCAGGGGACAATTGTTTTTGCATGTTTTTGAGCATTGTTGGATAATTTTGGCGTATGCTTAATTTTTCGTCCAAAATGCTTCTGTAGGGGGACATTCCCGACCTAACACGATCACGATAAGGACATCGGCTCTCCAGCTCATCGGCTGACCTCGGCCCCTCCTGCTACCGTGCCCGGGTTGCGGGCCATAGGCCCTTGGGATGTTTGTTGGGATGCTGCGAGGGGACCTCTTGTGGGCCCGTGGCTATGGCAGATAGGGCGAGAGCCCGTGCGTCTGGTCCACTGCACAAACGACGATGACCCTCCAGCTTTCTGATGACCCTCCATCGTTTTCCCCACCTCCCATTCCCCCCGGGCCTTCCTTCGGCGACAGTGTCCAGCAGAGTGCTTCCAACGGGTCTCCAGAGGTAGTTGCGAGGTTTCGCGGGATAGTCTCGGAGCGAATTTCTCAAGGATCCATCGCGTTGCGTTATACGTATGCCAGCGCTGACCCCACACAATGAATCATTGCACTCTTGATGCGTTGTATGTATGGTGCGTTCGACGTGGCTATAGGGGAAGCTCCAGAGGTCGTGGATGTAGACGCCTTTGGGCTGTGCACACTTCCTTTCCGCATGGCGGCGCACACTAATGTACTCATTACCGGATGCAGCACACCTGTTTGTTTTCTGCGCGCCCTTTATCGGAAGCAGAGTGGCACTTGTCATGGATAATATGTTGACGTCTTTGTTGTCATCACGCCCGCATCCGTACGGAACACTTGTTCGAGGTCATGGCATATAGTAGCCGTAAAGGTTGTAGGGTTAACATGAGAAGCAGCAGTGGTGATGGTAGAAGTGTTCGCAACAGCAATAGTAGTAGTTGTAGTAGTAGCAGTGGAACTGGTGGTGCTGGTAGTAGAAATTGTCGTAGCAGCCGTACGCAGTCGTCGTAGAAGCAGTGGCATTGATAGCACTTGAAGTTTAGACCAATGTATACTTAGACATTTAGTAGAAGCCGCAGTAGTAGTACTACTACTACTACTAGTACTAGTACTAGTAGTCGTAGAAGTCGTAGTCGTAGTCGTAGTTGTAGTGGCAGTAGTAGTACGAGTAGTACTAGAAGTAGTAGCAGTAGCAGTAGTATTAGCAGCAGAAGCAGTAGTAGTGGTAGTAATCGTAGTCGTAGTCGTAGTCGTAGTAGTCGTCGTAGCCGCAGTACTCGCAGTAGTCGTAGTTCTAGTACTAGTATTAGTAGTAAGCGTAGTCGTAGTCGTTGTCGTTGTCGTTGTCGTTGTCGTAGTAGTCGTAGTCGTAATAGTAGTAGTAGTAGTAGTAGTAGTAGTAGTAGTAGTAGTAGTAGTAGGTAGTAGTAGTAGGTAGTAGTAGTAGGTAGTAGTAGTAGTAGTAGTAGTAGTAGTAGTAGTAGTAGTAGTAGTAGTAGTAGTAGTAGTAGTAGTAGTAGTAGTAGTAGTAGTAGTAGTAGTAGTAGTAGTAGTAGTAGTAGTAGTAGTAGTAGTAGTAGTAGTAGTAGTAGTAGTAGTAGTAGTAGTAGTAGTAGTAGTAGTAGTAGTAGTAGTAGTAGTAGTAGTAGTAGTAGTAGTAGTAGTAGTAGTAGTAGTAGTAGTAGTAGTAGTAGTAGTAGTAGTAGTAGTAGTAGTAGTAGTAGTAGTAGTAGTAGTAGTAGTCGTAGTAGTAGTCGTCGTAGTAGTCGTAGTAGTAGTGGTAGTAGTAGTAGTAGTAGTAGTAGTAGTTAGTAGTAGTAGTTAGGTAGTATTTAGTAGTAGTAGTAGTAGTGTAGTAGTGTAATAGTAGTAGTAGTAGTAGTAGTAGTAGTAGTAGTAGTTGAAGCAGTAGTAGTAGTAGTAGTAGTAGTAGTAGTAGTGGTAGTAGTAGTAGTAGTAGTGGTAGTAGTAGTGGTAGTAGTAGTAGTAGTAGCAGTAGTAGTAGTAGTAGTAGTAGTAGCGGCGTGCCGACCAAAACCACGATACTTGTGAGGTGTGCGCCGAAATCGCGCGTCGGAGGGCCAAGCCCATGATTTTGGAGAGTTGTGTGCCGAAATGAAGCGGCCGGCGGTGGCGGTCGCTCCAAATCCGATGGCGACACGAAGGACAGGTTTAAGACTTGTTTTGTCCCCCTTCTAATGCGAATCCAATATGCAGCGAATAGTGCACGAAGGTAGGCATTGACGCGAAATACACGAAAGCCAAATTTAATGTTACGGTTTTCGCATTTTCCCTATACTACCTACTACTCTTACTACTACTAGGACCACCACCTATTATTACTACCACTACTATGGCTACGGCTACTACTATTACTACTACTACTACTACTACTACTACTACTACTACTACTACTACTACTACTACTACTACTATTACTACTGCGACTACTACAATCACTACTACCACTGGCCGAATTTGGAGCGCGTCCGACAGCCCACCGATAAGCAATTTCGGCATACCCTTCACACGGATCGTAAACCGGACCGCCGCGCGATGCATTTCGGTACACCTTTCACATGGATCGCGGCCGTGGCCCGATTGGGAGCGCTGCCGTCGGTCCACCGACGCCCAATGTCCGAACGGGCGACCGCCGCTTGCGAAAAAGAACACAGCAGTTTCAGAAAGAACACAGCAGCTTCAGAAAAAATACCGTTTCACAAAACGCAGCAACCGTTTCAGAAAAAACGTTCACCGTTTTAGAAAAAGCGAGGACCGTTTCAGAAAAAAAATGTCTCGTTGTAGAAATAACGGTTTCATTTTCAGAAAAGGACGTGCAATTTTCAGGGCAGTGCTACTGCTCATCAAAATCAAATTCATACGCCATTTTGAATACCCAACGGACATTCAGCGGACACGGCCGTGAACAGATATATAAAGAAATACGAAAAAAATAAAAGAGCAACATTTTTCACAAAAGAACTCTAAATAATCGGTTCGAGCGCTATTATTATTTCCCCGTGCGCTTTCCTAGCATTTCTTGCTTCCTCCGACTTCCCCCTACATCCACCTTTTTAAAAATGGCTCCACCTCCACCCTCCTTTATCCGCAAAATTCTAGACGCTTCGCGTATCCCCACCAGCCCGTCCAGAAATGAGTCCCAGGGGAGTGGAGGTTATGAGGGAAGCGGGGGAGCATGCAGAAGAACAAACGGCGGGGTGAGCCGCCGTATACCCCAAGAGGGGGAGGATGTAGGAGGAGCCATCGTCGTCGGAGTAGGAGGAGGAAGAGGAGGAGCAGGAGGAGGAGGAGGAGGAATAGAAGGAGGAGGAGATGGAGGACTGCGAGGACGAGGAGGACAAGAAGGAGGAAAAGGAAAAGAAGGAGGAGGAGGAGGAGGAGGAGGAGGGGGAGGGGGAGGAGGGAGGAGGAAGAACAAGAGGAGGAGGAGGAGGAGGA